CCACCTTCTCCCCCTCCTCTACCTCCTCTCTCCACCTTCTCCTCACCCACCTTCTCCCCCTCCTCTACCTCCTCCCTCCACCTTCTCCTCCTCTCCCTTCTCCCCATCCTCCTCTACCTCCTCTCTCCACTTCCCCCTCCTCTACCTCCTCCCTCTACCTTCTCCTCATCCACCTTCTCCCTTCCTCCTCTACCTCCACGTCCTCCACCTTCTCCACCTCTCCATCCTCCTCCCTCCACCTTCTCCTCATCTACCTTCTCCCCCTCCTCCTCTACCTCCTCCCTCCACCTTCTCCTCATCCTCCACCTCCCCCTCCTCTACCTCATCCCTCCACCTTCTCAAATGAAGATGGAATCAAGAGGGGGTTCTACCCCGTTTAAAACTGTTCGGGTTCGGTGTATTCTGTTATGCACAAGATCAAAGGGCGCTTAAACTATGCCAACCTGTTTATAGTAGATGGAAACATATGTAAATCCACTATAAGCAATAATGGTTCCTGACACGATTTACCATTGTACCATAATTAGCCGAGCCGAGGATCATGGCAATTCGAAAATATTCTGGTAAAAATATATTCCAGTGTTTTTATGGCACGTTTACCTATAGTGAGTTTTAAACATAATTTCAGATAAGAGACCTCCTAGAAAGTTTGCCGGAACCGCCATCAAACTCAACTATAAAGAAATTTGAAGATGATCATGTGAGTATTTACACACTCGAAGCATTTACTATCCTATAGTAAGGCCATTTTTATTTGATAAGATGGTTTGTGGATCCGCCGGTCGTAAATTTCCGTTGAAAAATGTCATGTTATTTTTTTGCCGCCGACCCTGGATGAGCCGACGTGATAAAATAAAATTAAAAATAATTATTTAATAGCACAACAGCATTGATCGGTAGATTTCGATCAGCCGGTATGTCGACGAAAATAGGTAATACCATCTGCACTAAAACATCCAGTTAAAAAACTCTTCCTCGATCCTGCGGTGGAGCATGCAGCATTTTTCGTACAGACAACCACGATACTTTTGTTATTTAGTTAAGATAAACTGAACATTGCAGGTAGCAAAATTCAAGAACTTGATATACCTTGCTGTGTTTTCTGGAACATATTGCCGAGCTGCGGGCGTACGGCCTTAAGATCGGTGACATATTGTTGCTCAAGGAGCATCTTAATGGTAAATTGCATGTTGATCTCAATATAAGCACAATATTTTGGCCAGTAAATGTTTTCTCGACGAGTGCACATTTTCGCTCAATGTACTTCGTACTTATAAAAACAGTTTAGTAGTAGACACGATTCCCGCCGGGATATTATTGGCAGCACGGCATTATGTTTACAGACACATTTCCATTGTAGCCGCACAACACTTTTAAACGTTCCATATAATATTTAATTGCAGGTGCGCGCAACCTTCATCGTACACATGTAACTAATCTGTAGTTGCATAAACAATTTCCTCCACTTATTAGAGCCTCGTGATGCTGTGCCACCTGTGAAACAGCGATCGACAGACGAAATATTGAGGCAGCTTAAAGAAGCCAGATCAACGCGACTAGAAAGCAAAGTCAAGCCCATAGTATGTTATATCACTCATATAGTCCTTCATAAAATAGGCAGATATAATATGTTAATTAATCTAAGAATTCGGTATTCTAGAATTAGGTAGACTATATATGTGTCTGTAAGCAGCCGGTCTTTACATGCGTGTTCGTGCGTGCGTGTGTAGGCTATGTGTGTTGCCTATATGTGCACGAACGTATATCAGTGTGAAAACAGGTGGCGGTAGGAGGTAGTGGTGCCCTCAGTCTGAAGAAAAAGCATTGATAGTAAATGCAAACGATTTTTTATCGATTTTAAAGGGGAATTTAATTTAGGAACGAAGTGAAGCACTGAAGATTAGAGGATATCATACCCAGAAGCGTTATATTGCGAATCTTAAAGATCAGTTTATTGCTATCGTTCGAACCTGTAGTTGCTGAGTCCCGTCTTATTGAAGGCAAAGACAAAGAAAATAGAAGTTGGTTGGCGGCATTTTGACGGCAAGAAGTACGTCACCGTGAGCGCGGACAAGGGTGGAGGGAAGCGAAAGCTCTCGTTGGTCGTGGATTCCACCTACAGCCACGTCTACAATACAGCAACGAGGCTGTACTTTCCCGGAGGGGAAAATAACATCTGCATTCTCAGTGACTGTGAGTCTGCTCTTGGACGATACACAGATGCAGGAACCCCCTTGAACACCGTGCAGCTTAAAGGCAGGCGCAGACCGTTCACTCTGCAGGGGTACCAGGAAATGACGTGCTGCAACAAATGAAGTGCGGCTGTACCTACACACCAAACCAAGGTGGACATTGCATGACCATCTTAGATAAAGGAATATTACTATTGAATCTTTACATGATACAAACAGGTAATATATAATAGGCAAAAAATATAATATTATAAATCTTCTGACAGTTCACAGACTGTTTAAAACATAATAATTTGGTAATCATCGAATAAGGTCTCCTGTTTTGAACAATTAAATTTTTTTTTATCACGACCTCACATATATCATGGTGTTTTAATTCCAGTTCCCAAGGACTGGATCACCTGATGTGTCTGAAAGCCTGGAATACGAATTACCGAACATTGAAATCGGTAATTATGCATTGATTTCAATTTCAGTTCAAAAATAACGTTGAACTTGTACGAGTAATGAAATTTGATTGCGACTCAAACTGACTTGCAATCTTACACTTTTAAAGGTTCATTCTGATAACCGATTTCACTGACTCGCTGATGCTTGTTTTACATTTAAGCAAAGAAAGTGCCACTGAAACACGGCTCATCCAGACCTTCGACATCATATTTTGTCGACACAGAAAGTAAGTGAGATATATGTGTATCAGCACACAATGCGTGTTTTCATTAGACAGAGAAGCTAGGCACGCAAAAAATCAACATCTTACATACGTTTGCTTACTTTGCACAAATAATAGCATTTAACGAATCTGCTACGTACTAGACTGTGCTCAGCTACCAGTGAAATATTATGGACAACAAGCACATACAGAGCACACTTCAGGTTTCGTTTGCACTAAGAACCTGCCAGGTAAAAGGCCTGTAATTGACTTCCACATTTGCAACAATAGGTGATGAAGACAGTGCGGACAACTTTGCGAGGCCATCGCAAGGAAAACCTGTGAGAAGAAAGGTACTAGGGCATGCCCGCAGTTTGAATATAAATCGTGACTGCCAATCATTACATAGAAATTACAAAAAATTAGATATAATTTACAATAATTAACGTAATTAGCTTAATAAGAGTAAACATAATGTGTCTCTTACTGACCTAGAGGACGTATACACCAACGGTGAATTGGTGCCACTGTTAAATTATCCACTTTAAAGTAGCCATTTCACTTTTTAAGGAGAGAATGAACATCAGTAGCAGTACTGACAAGCTAGACAAAGCTACCTCACCAACGGTGTCCTTTGTGCAGCCTACCAAATCATCCAGGCAGTTATTCCTATATATTCACCCACATTCAGGGGGGCCGTAGCCAACTCATTTTGGCCGGGGGGGGGGGACGCAAACCCACATGCGGTTTGTTTGTGTTCTGGCCAGTTGACAGTGATTTATTTTTTGTTTTAAGCTGCATTGGGGCAAATAGTGTTTCACTACTTAACATGTATATATCGTGGATTCCACCTACAGCCCAAACTCAATTTAATTTATCTATAGACAAGGGATTCATGGATGCTGTGACAGAACAAAAAAAGCTACGCTCCAGTTCATCAGAAGACCACTGCATCAGAGATGTGCATGACAGCACACTGTATAAAGCAAGGGCAAAAAAAATGTGTGACTCGGACTTGACATACATTTGGCATTTGGATGGTGTGGCAACGTTCAAGTCATCAACTCTGCAGCTGTGGCCTCTGGGAGCTTATATCAACGAGTTGCCACCAAAACTAAGGTGAGAATAAGTTTTTGACATGTACATGACTTGATTAGTTACAAAGTCCGAATATTACCGTGGTAACCTCCCCCCCCCAAAAAAAAATGCAGTGGCTATGCGCAGCCTGAACCGGTCGCCTAGCCTCCAGACTACGCATCCGGACATTGACTCACACAGGCAACAGCTAGGGAACAGGAGGGATGAAAAGAAGAGTAGCGTATATATCTGCAATGCAAGCGAACTGTGGGTTTTCCCCGTTTATATGGATATGAGAAAAGTTATCAAATGTTAGTAGCTCACAAGAAATTAGGCCTACCATATAGGCATAGATTATTATCAATGACTCCCAGTTGAACAATGCATTGGAAACAATCTCCTGCTCCACAGACTTGTACACTGAAGAATAAGTGCATAGAGCCAGTGTTATTAGCTCTAAAACTAGCCCATACTAGAACCCATGCAGGTGGTCTTTTGATATGGCTACAGTTCGTTGGTTAATTGGACAACAGTAGACCGCTTGCTATACAATACGTAATATTCATTGCATAAACCAAGAGATTACTTTGATGGCCCATTGAGCGACAAAACTTTTCAAGCCATCTATCAACCTTTTTAAACGTTTCTATCATTAGAATCAAATGTAAGATTCATTAATTATTTATATATTGTTTAGAATTTGATCTATCATTAGACGACATCTGATCAGGTTATTCTATAAAATAACACGTCACCCTTTGCATAAACAAGGTGTCCGTTACTTATTTTTCATACGTACCCTCGATGAATCTCCACCCTGGTATGCAGTTTCCAAACTGCAGCTGGGGCGTTGGCAAATGCATGCAACATGTCTAATAAATACCATTTCATTGATGCTTAGACTATATGTTAGTATTCGGTATATCTATTTAGGTTTCAGAAATAGCACATTCTGATGTTGGGTGTTTGGTGCAGCAAAAAAACAACAACCATGACCAGTCTGATGCAACCAATCACACGTACCATGAACAACCTTGCAACACATGGTAAGCTTCGGTATTTTTAGCTATCCATGATCTTCATCTATATCCAGTCACCTCCCTATAAGGAATACCTTATATACTTTTCTATGGAGCCATAAATGGGGGTGTACTTTTCTACGTATACCAGTAACCATTCAACTAGTAAATGAATTGTCTTTAATATCATAACCAGGCAAACCGAATTTAACCAATCTGTTAGATAGACAGTTAACATATTCTAAAAATTTATTGTTGTATCACCCGTGACGAAGTTGGCGGGGATACTATGGTTTCATGTCTGTCCAGCCGCCGCCGCTCGCCGCCGCCGCCGCAGCTTCCGCTCTATAACTCGACCCTTAATTGACCTAGAGCGACCAAACTTGGTATACTTACACATCTTGGGGAGAAGGTGTGTCGCGTACCAAAACCAGGTCACTGCGACCTTTATTTGACTTTGACCTTGACCTTGATCATATTTTCTTTCCACTCTATAACTCGGCCCCTAATTGACCTAGCGCGAGCAAACTTGGTATACTTACACATCTTGGGCAGAATGTGTGTCGCGTACCAAAACCAGGTCACTGCGACCTTTATTTCACCTTGACCCCCCCAGCCCCCTAGGAAATATAAGCACTTGCTAGTTTCTGTGAGTGTGAGTGGAAATTTATAGCATACATCGCATTTATTATCACTGTCGATAACGGAAAGAATATATTTCATGGTCAAACTGGACGGTCAAATTGCCTAAACAAGTTTCAATTTGCCGTTATTTACTGTACGCTGTTTACACTTTCATAATGCGGATCGCCTCCGAAAGCAGACCCAAACGGAACTTCGCTGGTTCCCTAGCTGCGCTAATGATAGTCTTATTCCGAACACAAATTGAACGTTAGAATTCATTTTAGCACGTAGATTTTTTATGCACTCGTGATTTTTCGCAAGTGGCTAAAATTGCGAAATTCGTCCCCTGTCTAGGGTAACCAAATTTGACATACTTACATATCTGAGGCAGATGAGTTGTGTAACAAACCTTTGTCTTTGTGACTTATTTCACATTACCAACCTTGTACGTCCTTACGGAGATATTTCATTCCTACTAGATCGCGGGGGATACATGTAGTTGGTGACAACTGCAATTTCTAGTTTTACAATGTTCCGCACACAGGTTTTGAAGTGCAGCCATATGGAGAAACTGACACAAGGGTAGTGAAAGTTTATCCCTTAGTTGACACAATGGATCTGCTTGCCATGTGTTTGACCAAGGAGATGACACAGTTCAATGGTGAACATGGCTGTGGCGTGTGTGAGCACCCAGGCACCGTGGGAAAAAAGGGCGCTGGTCATGTAAGAGCATATGCTCCTGGACAGCATCAGCTGAGAAGATGCATGATTCAACAGGCAAAGCACGCTCTAGAAACCCACCATTCTGTAAGTTGATTTACATCATAATTATTATTACCACAACTTCTCATGCGTTAGACGGATTCCACTACGAAATAGAGATATTATAGGACGTATAAATCGACTAACATTTTGATCAGGGATTATGAATTAATTATTTAATGAAAGTTATCAGTAAACGAAATTGTAATGTAAATTATTTCATAATTATAATATGTTAACAAAACGCTGTTAAATAGGTCATGGGCATCAAAGGCTACAGTATGCTGTTTGAAATTCAGCAGTGTGACTCAGCACAAGATGTTGTAGTGGATTATCTACAGGCGGTATGCCTATGCATGAAGCAGCTTTTTACACTATGGTTTGGCAAGTCAAAGGATATGCCATACTGGATTGGCAACATGGTGGATGAAGTGAGCACCCGCTTAACCACAATCAGACCGCCATGCAGACGTCATCAGTCGTACTCCGAGAAGTCTTATAGTGAGAGAGCACACTGGAAAGGCGAGGCAATTGCAATGTGATAATATAACTTGATAAGAATCTGTCTCATGCCTATAGGTAACGTTAGGAGCTCAGGTAGTTTTTTTATCTTGCTTTAATTCAAATATATATTTTCATTACTGTGCTGTCAAACATTGCTGCTGTACCATATAATCATATATTTGGGTAAACTTAATAACATTTTACTCATTTACTGTCATCTAATTACTCATTATATAAAGTGTGAATAGTGCTTCTAAACAATATGTTTTACAAATTATACATACTGCAAATTTCTTCTAGGTTCTGAGTACAGAAACTTTCTCCTGTATTATGGAGCTAGTCTTTGTGCTGGAAGGAATCTTGCCAACAGACTACCTGATACACTTTGGATTTCTTTCGGCTAGCATCAGATTGCTGTCAAAAGACTGCATCACTGTCGATGAGTCCAGTGTGGAGCTGCAAGCTGCTGCTGATTGCGGTGAACGTGCATGCGTGGGGGGCATACCAACTGTATGCCGGTATGCCGGTATGTAGCTGTATGCCGGGTCAAAGGTTATTTCGCTGAGTGTTGCGTCCTCCCTGCGCGCCACACCGCCTTGCCGAGATAGCAAGCTGTTGTTAGTAGCTGCCTTTTGTTTAAATTTCGGCGCAAAACGCATCGACTTTGCTGGTAGCAAAATGGAAAATCGTGTTGTACGTTTTAGTCTATATCTCCGGATTGCGGGTGTATACGAGGAAACGTTTTTGCATGATGCTAGGCGAATGTACTGTGTACGATTTGAGCTCAAGTTGGATGAGTTACGCATAGTAAATCGTAGGTATTATAAGGCTAGTAAATGACAAGTTTTCCTTGTTTATTGAAGTCACACTCCTTCCCCATTATCTACTCCTGATATATATATATATATATACACGCGCACACGTTCTCTCTCTCTCTCTCTCGCTCTCTCATACACAAGCGTAATTGTCCACATACATGAAATCTCCTGCCTGGTACATGAGATTTTCCTGCTGGTTAATTGGACAACAATAGCGTAATTGTCGCAATACATGAAATTTCCTGCCTGGTACATGAGATTATAGTTCTAGTTTATTAAGCAAGCAGAAGTCCAAATTTTGTCATTTTGCATCATTAGTTAGTGTACTAAGAAAGCTTATCCTGTAGTCTGTATATTTCCAGATCATCATCAAATTGAGGCAGAAAGACCGAAAGGAGGCAAAAAGGCCGAAAGGAGGCACAAGAAAACTAAAGGAGCTAAAACCCCCAACAAAGGTAATTGCATATTTTGCTTTAGTAATTTGTAGGCGAATATATTTCTCCACACATAATTCCACAACTTCACTCTTATGGTATACCATCAATATACATGCTTTTATAAAGTGACTTTGTCCGTACAGTAAATAAATGTATTGTGAGGTATCCTTGTTTCTATGTTAATGTCATAACAATGTTCTTCGATATTTCCACAGATACTGCTAGGCAGCAAATGCTGCACAAAATGGAGGAGTTTATGAAAGCAAGAGAGCTTTCGGCTACAACCTGCAATCAGCCAGCAAGTTAATTATCCCGCTTAAAACTGCCACTGTATTTAAGTACAACATTAATTTGCTTATCATGCACTTCAACGTAGCGAATATAGTATTATTTACAGCAAAGGTGGTAGAGAGTAATTTACAGGCAAAAATGTTATGAAAAATTTTGCATTTAATGCCACATTCCAATTTGTTGTGTAATTTTAGATTCTAGAGGAAGAAGGACAAAGTGAGATAGACCAGGAGATGAGTGGTGCGGAAACTACTAATTCAGTAAGTTTATATTCTTAATGTCTATAAATGCTAATGCCCTCATGTATGCATTGAGACATATGTATGTCTACAAGCCGTGTCATTCTCGTAAAACACAAATGGATCCGTTACTTTGACACGTTTCGTATGACTCGTGTCTCTGTGTTTTCGGCTGACTATATACACTTTCGAATGTTTACGATGCACGGTTGCGCTTTTTTCCCAGATCAATCTCATAAGCCAAGTAGGATGATTGCCACTAATCTACATTCTACATACAATAGAAATGTTCGTAGCGAAAACAATGCATAATACACAATTTTTTTTTTTTTTTTTTTTTTTAAAGACGTTATTTTCCTAAGTCGACACAAATATGCTGGTCCCAAAAGTGTCGACTTATGCAAGTTTTATGGTACTTTCTATTTTATGCAAACAAGTGACAGATCCAGGGGACAGGAAACACCCCCCCCCATTTTTGAACAAACACATACATAGAAGTGAATGGCCTTATCGGCCTGTGCCCCCCTTTTTTTATCAAAACTTGACTCGGACTCGGAGTCGGACTCGGACTCGGGTGGTGTGGACTCGGACTCGGGTGGCGCGGACTCGGACTCGGGGGGTGCTAACTCAGACTCGGACTCGGACTCGGGGGTGCGGACTCGACTACAACACTGCCGAGGAGACAGTTGCTGGTTGCGATGTGGACCTCCAGGCGATTGTCGAGGTCTAGCGGGTGTAATGATTGTCTCATCGGAAGTCGGTCGAAGCTGCTAATGGGCATCCGGGGACCGTGGCCTGGTCATTTAGAAGGGTGACCGATGACACTCTGGACGCGGGGTAGCGGGTTCCGGGGGTACTGATGGTGGTTGGTGATGACTCTGAGGTGCCACCTGCTCCATGTTCACTGGCTTATGGAGGTTCCCATGGCTTTAACCTGGCTATCTAGATGCATGCTTGCTGATGTCATCAATGATACTGGTATGTGGCGGGTGCGGGTGTACCGGAGTAAACATCCGCAGGAACTTCCTATTGCGGACTGTAATTCGTCCTGACCCGTCGACATGCACGCACCACGTACTGGTCGTGTTGGCGGACCTCTATCACCTGTCCAGTTTTATCCCATTTCAGTGGGATAGGGCCAGTTTGGTTCTGGATCCTGACGTGGTTGCCAACTACAAGGGGTGGAAGTCGCTTTGTGTGTTCCATCCAACGTTCAGCAGCCCTCATATGTCGGTTTCTCAATGCTTCCTCCTTTGCCGCCGATGTTTATTTCCATGTGCTATGTGGTTGGTAACGACCCGGGAGGACAGGGATGAAGTCCTTGATAGCTCAGCTAAAGATGCACATCGGTGTCTTCGTCTGGGCAATTTCGGTACTGCAGCATTGCACGTTGGAAGTTGTCTGTGTCACGTTCACCGTATGGTCCTGTGTTGTCAGTTATAAGTCGCTTGACAGTTTTCACTCCGACTTCTGCACAACAGTTGCTGTGGGGGAAGGCATCCGATGATAAGCGGTGATGAACACCCTAGTTCTTCATGAACTCGCGGGTTGCGGCAGCAGTAAATTCAGGGCCACCGTCAGATGCGAGTTCGTCGGGTATGCCATAGGTGACGAATGCTCTGGGAGGCTGTCAACTAGCCCAATGGAACCACAGGTTTTATTTCAATGATAGGCCAGTTGGAGTATCTGTCAACGATTGCCAGGTAGTTGGTGCCTTTGTAGTGGAAATAATCAGCACACACACATTGGAATGGGTATACCGGCGGTGTTGTGAGTGTTGGCGGTGCGCTAGGCTGTGAAGGTGCCATTCGGTTGCAATGAGTGCAGCTATTTCTGATGGCAGTGATAGCGGGAGTAATTCCAGGCCAGAACACGGATATTTCTGCTCTTGCAATCATCGATGACGTGGTCTGGTGTGCGGCATGAGGGGCCGTCAAACAGTCATGTCTGAGTGACGGTGGGATCACGACTCTGTCTTTGTAGATTATGACGCCATCTACTGTGTAAAGATGATCCCCGGAACTGATGATATTCCTGCAGTGGCGCAGGCAATTCATGGCGGAATTCTGGCATGCTTGTTTCGATCAAGTTGACCAGCTTGTTCGTATTAACGTCGCTATACATGTGGCTGTGCAGACCTTGTCCCACGTGATAGTTTGTAGCGAGATCAGTGATGAAGTCGCGGCAAGGTGGACGATGTCTTCCATCTTGTCCTGGTGGTCGTCTCTGCAGCGAATACCGGAGATGAAGTTGTGGTATACATCCCGCTGTGTGTACAGATCTGGTGGGGTGGTGCTGCTCTGTGGAACGTGCCTGATGGCGGCGATGTCATCTTCGAGTTGCATTTTGGCAGGGTCACCAGTCGGGTGGCGGGAGACAGTGTCTGCGGCTCGATGCTTCACGCCAGGTACATGGGTCATGCGAAATCTATATCTGAGCGTCTTTTCCTTCAGGTTTCTGAGACGCACGTTTGATATGTCATTGAGTGATCTGTCGCCAAATAACTTGAGAAGTGGCTTGTGGTCCACGGCAATTATTAGATCCTCGCATCCCAGCGCAAAGTATCAAGCCTTGTCTAATGCGTCGGCAATGGCAAGGGCTTCGCCTTCTACTGGAGCATAGCGTGATTCGGCGGGGTGGGTGAAGCGACTGCCTACCAGTGTTATTCTCCATCCAGTAGGACAACAAAACAATTCTGTCTTAGCGCAGGTGCAGTGCTTCTGGAAAAGCCAGAATCCTATTCCGACTTTGGACCAGTCTGTGGCAAGACAGGTTGGCTTTGATTTGTCGAAGATTCGTACGCCCTCTTCTATCTCGCTCACTATCGCCAGCTTTGATTCTTCAAGTAATTCTGTCAGGTGATCATCCCAGTGGAATGCTGTTCCAGGCTTGAGGAACTCGCGGAATGGAAGCATCTGTTCTGTCATGCTGAAGGCGTATGACACCTGGTTGACGAGCCCGAACCAACAGCGGATGTTGGTGATGTTCCTTGGTTTTGGAAAGTCTATGATCGCTTGAAGGAATTGCTGGCAAGGCCTCACGCTGTCTGGTGTAATCTCGAACCCGGCAAATGTAACGGTGGCCTGGCCAAATACAAATTTCTCAGGGTTGAGGGTTATCCCGTTCCTGCCGCAGATATCTAACCAGTTACATGCCTGGTAGAAACTTTTCTCCAGGTTGTCGGCCCAGAGTAGTGTGTCGTTGATACATTTGGTTTTGTTGGGGACATCAAGACAATCTCGTCAAATCTTCTGGAGTAGCCGTCGCCGGATGCAATGTAGCCCTGTGGGGCTGTGCGATAACGGTATCTTCCCCAAGGTGTGATGAAGGTGGTAAGGTGCTTATCTTCTTCCCGGACGTACACTGTGATAGCTGTTCCACGCGTCGAAAACAGTTTTTACCGTCCCATGTGGGATTGACCGCGCTTGGTGGAATGGTGACTGTGTGTGGTGGGTTTCACGTGTTGCATGCATGTTAAGTGGTTGCATGTCAACTGTCCGTCTCGGCTTGCCGTTTTTCTTTGCACAAACGACCATGCGGTGGCACCATGTCACTGGTTCACCTACTGGTACTGGTTCTAGTATGCCAAGCCGTACGTCTCTGTCCAATCCAGCTTTCACGTCGTCTCGCCAATGGATGGGTACAGGCACGGGAGAATGTACTGCTACGGGTTTGGCATCTAGGTCCACCATTAGATGTAGCGGGGGGCCTTCCATCATCGGCAGTGGTTGGTGTTCGCACGTGTTGAATGTGCTAGATTTGTAACGATCCAGAAGGTATTGTCTCAGCTGCTCTCGATTGTCTTCAGTTGCTGGAAATGGTAGACTCGACGGTGGTGGTGGCGGCAGCTGGCGTCGAGGACATTCACACTCGGTCGTGAGCCCGCTGTCATTTTCGTCGCGAGCTAGGTGGTCATCACTACCAGAATGTACCGCCTGATCGTTGTTGGTTTGACCAACGGTTGGGAATGTGTCTCTGATCATGCCTAGGCGAATGCAAGCTTCTCTGCTGATGAAGAGTTTGTCTGGCGCCCAAGATGTTGATGCCTTTGTCGTTGGCTGCATTCATCCGCAATGTCACTGGGATGAGGTCGGCCTTACCTAGACCGAGCCGATTGACGACCTTGAGACTCGCCAGGCAACTTTGGCAACCAGTGTCAGCCATTGAAGGGATGACGACTGACCTGGGTGTGGATGTGAGCGTAAGACCAAGACGTTTGTAGTCTTCAGGGTGTGCACCCACTGTGAGGTTAACGAACGGCTGAGGTTTGGACTTTCGCTTTATCCAAATGTCTGATAGTTGGTTGTAAATTAATTACGGTGGTGGTCGAGAGTTATATTTCCACCGTTGTGTCGAGCAGGAGTAGTGATTGAGCACAATTGGTCGAATACCGCACCTTCGTGTTCATCAAATGACTTTGCCATTGTCTTGTACTTAGCATTGTTCCTGCCTCTGCACGTGCTGTCAAATTGGTGGTTCTTGTCACAGTTTTGGCATGTGTGGCCATACGCAGGGCATTCCTTCTGTCTAACCTTGGTGAGGTTATGGACTCCGTGGCCTTTTTTACCGCAGTATGAGCACAATTCCGACTTGTATTTTTTGTAATTTTCGTATTGTCATACCTACTGCGATCTTTTAGAGAATTGTTCATGCCACGTTTATAAGAGCTGCTGACTGCTTCGGCACCATTAGTGTGTGGGTCGATGAGACGCAAGGCGGAGCGCTTGCCCGATACTTTCGCCTCAACAAATTGAAACACCCCTTCAAGGGTCATTTCCTGGTTCTTGTCCCCGAGTAGGTCAAGTTGTATTTCGGTGTCCTCCAGGCCTCGTGTTAACACATCACGGAGTACAGCCTCTGTGTAGTTCACGTCGTCTGAACAACCAGGACACGGTATGATGAACTTGCATACCCCAGCTTGACCACGGAGACGAGCGCCGAATGAACGGATTGGTTCGTCACGGTCCTGGCACATGTTATGCAGGGTAACCCGTGCAACCATGGTGTTTTCTTCCCTTACAGCGAGTGTTTTAATGTCTTTCAATACGTTGCTTTCAGATTTGTTTGCCAACATGCCACCAGCATTGCGTGTGAGGTCTTTCCTTAAGTGTTCATCACAACACTCCAGTAATTGGATCACCTTGTCCTTGCCTGACACTTTAGTCGCTTCGACATAGTCATTCCATTGCGATATGAAGTAGGACCAGTCTTCGCTGGTGCCGGCGGAAGATATAGTTGGTCGTTTCACCCTTTCCACCTTCGCAGTGGGGACACTGTGGGTGGTCGCGTTATGGATGGTGGCGTGAGTCGTTATGAGAGCTGCTGCCACAATTGCAGCGACGTCCGGTGTGGCGTATTGGCACTGGTTGATGGGGCAGTCAATAACCGGCATCGTGTTGTGAGTTCAGGGAGTTGTCAAGCGATAGAAGCGAGAAATGAGAATAGTCAGAAAAGGAAGTCAATGAGTACCATCATAGATAGCAACACGTCCATTTCGTAAATCAGTCTTTATTCGATACAGATTACAAATGATGGGACTCAATCTGAAACCAATAGAAAAGAGAGTTACATTGTGGTATATTATTGTCTACTTTCCAGACCAGTCATGATCCATCGGGGGTCCAACCGTCTAACAACTCGCTCGGAAGTTCTATCTGTGAAGCTTTGGAAGCGGTTAATGATGAACCTTCAGGGCTGGTACGTGAATCCTTTTATATCTTGAACTTATTACTAGATTATCTACTCCTGAAATACTTGCAGGACAAATCAATATATAGGTAATTTCAGCTGCACTAGTTAGCTATATTGCATCCAT